ATACTAAATTTTGTAACAATTCAACTGTTGAGATCTCCTTATTGATAATGGTATACAAAATAAACAGCCAAATCTCGTCCATGATTCAAAATTTTGATATAGTTGTTCAAATGGATCGATTCCGATTTTCTTGCTTGTTTTCAAATTCTATCTTTGCGTTGGTCTTCTGCCTAACTACATTTAGTAGTAAAGTTTGCCTGCAGTTAAATAGTAATACGTTGTAGTTGTAATTTTTATTTTTGTTATTTTTAAATCAAATACCAACTGATTTTATTAATAGAAGATAGAGATTTTTTTTTCCTTTTTAATAAATGAAAAAGTGGAGAAAATTCCTAATCCTACGTGTCAAGTAAAAAACTATCTCAGTTTCCTCTCTCTTGGTTTTCTATTATTAAGTTACTAAATGTGAACCCGTACGATGCATGGAGTAGAAAAAAAATGTCAAAAAAAACAATTATTCTAAAATTAAAAAAATGTTCGACAAAATAAAAACAAATTGCATGCCTACAAATCTTCTAGCACTTATTTGTATACTATAGTGGTCATCATTTTACTCGCCCCCTCCCTCTTCACCACACATTAAACTTTTCATTCATTTTTTTGCTATTACTCTGGATAGAGCAGCATATAACTGACCTTGGCTACAATTCGGACATGAGAAATACAATTTAACTTAAAAAATGGACTGTCTGTGTCTCTTATTAATCGTCATCGATAAAGGGATTCTACAAACATATCCAACTATGGACCCAAGATCTTGTCCATGTTTCTAACATCATCAATATTGTGGGCTCAAGATCTCGTCTGTAACCTCATATTGACTGTCAATCTCAAAACCTTGTAGTGATTTCCCAGACGTGAAGATTTACCAGTAAAACATTAAGTAATTTTCATTTCAAATACATGTTAATTTCCAATGCAAGAGTAATTTCCAATGCATGTTAACTTTTTGAATCACCAAAAGAATCTATCTGAAGTCATCCCCTTAAGTACAACTCTGAATCAACAATTAGAATTGTACCCTTTTTAATCACCGAAAGAATCAGCTACCTTGCTGCCAAAAGGCATATTAGCACTTCTTGGAACATGAGATCAAAAAATATCTTTTAGGGAATTGTTAAATCTTCAAAATGGTGTTTGTGAACCGTCGATATTTTGTCCCAGATAATCAGCTTTGCAAGTCTTAACAGGGCAGAAAAGTCACTATATGGTTTTATCGAACATATGTTTGGACAACTTTTATTTTTGTTTTTGTTTTGAGATTGGGAGGAGATTTAAAATTGAGTTTGAGTGGAAAATTAAAAACTTATTTAAATAGTGTTTTAAATAAAATACTATTATTCATAACCAAAATATGTGTCTTTATAGTAATTGCATCAGTACCAGTAAAACATTAAGTAATTTTCATTTTAAATACATGTTAATTTCCAATACAAGAGTAATATTGAAGAAAATAATAGGACAAAATTGTCCCGATTTTGTAAAACGACACATATTTTAAAAAATTTTGTAAATCCTAAAACGAAATATATTTTAGAAGGAGTATTATGTTAATTTACTTAATACTAAACTCAAAAATTTCTGTTGTAGGACTATATGTTATCTTTTCCCTTATCGTAATGTCTTCAGACAAAAGTATCTATATTGAGGGGTGGGAGGTTGGATGGATTAGTTAGGGGTTAGGAAGGGATGACTGCTATCAGGAGGTCTTGATGGTTTGATTCTTATTAGAATCATTTATTATTATAAAAAAAACACATCTATGTTGATTTTCAAATGATATCAAGCATTATCAAAATAGTAGCATTGCAAAAAAAGATCTCAAGTAATAGCGCATCCTCCAATGACTTGTCGATCTATTCATATTTTTTTCTCTAACAAATGGCATTAAACTTCTATTCTTGTGTTTTATATCTTAGGTAATTTTCATTGATTACTCCTTTTTAAATGAAATTTTCGTTCTAAATAATTTATTAAATTTATGTCTTTTACTCGTGTATTAATTTATTTTAAGTGTCTTTAATAATTTATTTGGCTATAAAGCTACTTATTTTCAAAGATTTATCCACTATTAGATAACTTTAATTAATTAATATAACTCACCCACATACTTAATTAATGTCTCTTTAAAATTATATTGACCCATCTATAAAATTATCAAATAAATAAACAAATAAAAATTGTGTTTGTTTTTTTAAAAAAAAAAGAAAAAAGAAAATGCCAGGTTTGGATTTGATAGTACAAAGTCAACAGTTCATACCAACATCAGATTACATCATGATGATAATTACTCAACTTCAACAGACACGATTACAAAGTCAATTTATTATATTACCTTTTTATACTCCCAAATTTTTCTATCTAAGCCTCTTTTATAACATAGCACACCATTAATTGCTAACGCATGTCCTATAAAACACGACAAATCACATGCAACCTTATTTGCATAGAGGAATAAACAAGGGAGCCATTTGTGACTCCATGATTCCGCCACTCCTCATTCTCGAAATTAGACCTCAATTAAATTGCCTTAAGATCTTGTTGACCTCCAATTGATCTTCTTTATTGATGGATCAAGCACAATACTGATGCAAAAAAAAAGAAAAAAATAAAAAACCCAACCAATTTGAATTCTAATTACACAAAATCGGCAACAAAAAGAATGGGGAGAATACAATTATAAAAGTAACAATTAAAGGGTTTGAATCCCAATTCTCAATTTAGATGAACAAAAACAAATGGAAAATAGGCAGTGGTGTAAGATCAAGTAATTATTTCCATAAAAGTTATCTTTTGATGGTTAATTAATTGAGTATAAAAATGATGGAAAAAAAAATCCATTTTCAGATGTTGCAAATGTATTCCAACGTAGAGACAGGTTGCACGACCTTCTCTGCTAAATTATGCCTCAACTGCTATCTGCAACATAAAAATTATACTTATAGTCATGAGACACTGGAAAGTTGTTAATCGAAAAAAGAAATTGAAAAGTCACATTAAAAAGATAAAAAGAAAGTGTCAAATTGTCCACCTATGTGAATTTGTACATGGCTGAAGTAGGAGAAACCTTTGATATTGCAGAAAAGGTTGCAAAATCATCATACTTCTAGAATTACCAATTTACCTTTGATCTTAAAATTACGTTTATCTCAATGGTAGGTGAAGCTACTGCACCAATCCCATCTCATTTGAGCCCTTAATATCAGATCACACTAAGAAAAGTGACCGAGGAAAGCTGTCCACCAATTTAAATTTGTCCGAGGTAATAACAATTCAGAGCTCTAAATCTTTCAATTGGCAGTTGATCTCTCTACTCCACCTTGCCCAATGTCAGATGAATCAAAGCGCCTAATTCATCTTCTTTTTCAGCTTGTTAAACCAGATGAAACGATGAAAACTGACAAGTTAAGTTATCGATGGTAGTGTAAAAAGAAATTGTTGAATCGTCAGAGCTCCAGAATAATTATTCGGAGCTGGTTGAAAACCTTCTTTTACCATCATGTATTTGGAGGAAATGAAAATTTCAATGAAGAAGAATAGTCAACAAAATCCACCAGGTGTTAGAAAAAATGTTCACCTCCTTAAACAATCAACAAGAAAAAAAAAATTAAAATTTTACCTTTGCATGTGAAATTCTGCATCAGCCGGAACAAATTTAATGCAATAGTTACAATTCTTTTAAATTAAACCATGATCAGCGAGTACCATCAGTTTCCTTTCCCTCCCAAAAAAAAAATAATAATAATAATAAAAACTAAAAGCCAAGAAATGAAAAGAGAACAAATGAAATTGGAGGTCAATGATACATATCTGAATGCAACAACACAAAGAAGAACTTTGCATACAAATATACAACACCTTATAAAAAATAAATCTTGGTTCATTTCTCAGATATTATATGCAATTATCGTAAATATAGCCTCCTGTTTATGCAAGAAAAATTACGGCACACATTGAAAAATTTATAAGCGGATAAACGAACATAGTAAATGAGTTTCGATTGTGGCACATTTTGAAGCCTATCGACAAAAGGCAAAAGTCAAATGAAAGAAAGCCTTTGAACTTGTTTCCAGCCTCTACCTGCATTCAACTTAATAATATTTTTAGACCAAAAAAAAAAACCTAAACGATAAATGACTCCACATAAATAATTTTGCTTACCTCCCATAGATGCTTCCATTACCATATGAGAGGAGAAAGACGGCGGAAGAATAAAAAGATCACCTTTTTTTCTTCCAACAAATTTAATTAAAGTTCTAAACAAAAAAAATAAAACCTAAATAATAATTGAAAAAAATCACTCCACATAACCAGCTCTATTGCTAACCTGGTGTAGATGTTTCCTTTAACCAAATGAGAGAAGGTAAACGAAAGGAGCAAGGGGACTCATTGAGAGACTTAGGGATTCTTGAGATTTTAAAGATTCAAAACTGTATTCAACTTCAAATTTGTGATCTGTGATGGGTTTATCTGATCTTATGGTTTTGATTTGGTGAATCAAATCGTTGAAAGAAAAATAAAATATAGTCATAGAAAGAAAGATAGTAACCATGTTATAGATTTGGGTAAGATAACATAAGATCAGGTAAAATTTGCTACAAAGTATTTGAAAACCGAATCTTCTATCGGATGATTACTTAAGATATCATTTTTCCTTAAAGTTTTTTAATTGAAGATAAAACTTCTTTTTCTTTTTAATAAATCAAAAAATAGAGAAAATTGTCGGTCATATGTGACAATTGGAAAAATATTCTAGTTTCCTCTCTTTGAGCTTTCTTTTATTAAATTATATAGATATAGATAGATAGATTTTCCCTTTCACTAAATTGTTAGATTACATTCCAAATTTATTACTATAATACTACCACTATCCAAAAACAAAAACTAATCTAAATGAAATTTCGGTAGTTTTACGCAACTCAATGCATATTATTTTTTTTGAGTGTGACAAATAAGTAAATAATTTTGTAACAAGAACTCGATGACACTTTCATGTGTTGGCACTATCTACAACATTATTCAATTTCTACGACGATACAACGCACAAGGTGTGGAAATTTCCCAGTAAGTACGAAAAGGTAATTATAATTCATACCAGTTGAAGAAGGAAAATGACTTCTATTTAGACTCATCCAAAAATTAGGAGAGTCTTTCCATAACTCAGTATACTCCGTAAACCAACTCCCAGCCCCACTTCCACCGTCGTTTTGATCAATTTGCTCCGACTTCTGCTGCCGAAAATGGGTCTGAAAGGACGGAAGCCGGCGATCGGAATCGATCTCGGAACGACCTATTCATGCGTGGGTATCTGGAAGAACGATCGTGTGGAGATTATTGCTAATGATCAAGGGAACAGGACTACCCCTTCTTGTGTTGCTTTTACTGAGAATGAGAGTAGTGTTGGTGAAGCTGCTCATTACCAGGCTGCCCTTAATCCACTTAACACCGTCTTCGGTAATTAAACTTATTCTGTCGTGTTTTAATCTGATTTCGCAGTGTTTTTTTTTTTTCTCCCCTCTCTCCGATCATTTCCTTATTTTTATCCACTGTCTGTTTCTTGACTTTCTTCTGCTGTAAACTCTGAGCACACACAACAGGAAAAGCATGCTTAGTTTACTGGAATTTGCCAAATACAATCTTCCAATTTATGAACCTTTTTCTAATTTGTGGTATTTGTAAGCTTCCACGAAGGGCTGTTGTGTTTAAAGGAATTGCCTATCATTTAGGAAGAGGGGATGAATTAGACTAAGAGTCAGAGAATCTTCATGAATGGAACTAGAATTGACATTTTTGTGTGTGTGTGTGTGTGTGTTGGAGGGTGGGGTGGGGGTTGGTGGTTGCAAATCCGAAAGAACTTACCTTTACTTCAATTCTACGTTTTTGAGTTTTAAATTTGTTGCTTGTTGGTTCTACCTGTGGAACAATAAGAATACTTAATACTAGAAGAAAAAAGTGCAATGTCTGCTTTGAAACACTTGGTGTAGGATTCACAGAAATCGTGTTAGGTGATTGCTGAATTTTTGTTCTAGATGCGAAGAGATTGATTGGGAGAAAGTTCAATGACGAGTCCGTACAGAGTGATATGAAATTATTGCTGGTAAGGAGGATAGGCCAATTGTTGTGGTTAATAGCAAGGGGACAGAGAAGCAATTCACTATCGAAGAGATTTCTTCAATGGTCCTTACGAAAATGAGAGAGATCGCTCAATCATTTGTCGGAACAAATGTGGAGGAAGCGGTTATTACAGTGCCTGCTTATTTCAATGATTCTCAGCGTCAGGCAACCAAGGATGCTGGAACCATTGCTGGCCTCAACATACTTCGGATCATCAGTGAACCAACAGCTGCTGCCATTGCCTACAGTCTACACAGTGAGTCCATCGTTACAGGCAAGAAGAATGTTCTTGTTTTTGATCTGGGTGGTGGTACTTTTGATGTCAGTATTGTCACAATTAAAGCTGGTAAGTTTGAAGTCAAGGCCACTGGTGGTGATACTCACCTTGGTGGGGAGGATTTTGACAGTCAAATGGTTGATTTCTGTGTTGGAGAGTTCAAGAGGAAACACAATAAGGATATCAGTTTAAATCCTAGAGCCATGCGGAGATTGAGAACAGCTTGTGAGAGGGCCAAGAGGGTCTTGTCCTCATCTCTTGAAACAAGAATTGAGATTGATGCATTGTTGGAAGACATTGACTTTTCAGCCACTGTTACTCGGGCTAAATTTGAGGAGCTGAATATGAGTTTGTTCGCAAAATGCATGGAGACAGTCGTAACATGTTTGGAGGATGCTAAATTGTACAAGTTTGCTGTGGATGATGTAGTCATAGTGGGTGGTTCAAGTAGGATTCCGAAGATTCAGCAATTATTGCAAGAGTTATTCGATGGAAAGGAGCTATGCAAAAGGATTAATCCGGACGAAGCTGTGGCATATGGCGCAGCTGTTCAAGCATCGATCTTAAGTGGCTGGAGCAATGATGTCAAGAATCTTAAAGATTTTAAACTGGTGGAAGTTGCACCATTATCTTTAGGTGTCCAAGATAAAGGACAAGTCATGTCTGTCTTTATTCCTAGAAACACCAGCATTCCAACCAAAAAGAAGAAAGTATTTACCACCACGGTGGACGACCAGGTTGATGCGCCAATTCGAGTATTCGAAGGAGAGAGAGCAAAGTCATCAGACAACATTTTTCTAGGTGAAATGATCCTCGACCTACAGCCAGCCCCTAGAGGAGTACCAAAATTTGACATATCCTTTGATTTGGATGCCAATGGCATTCTGAATGTCATTGCCAGAGATAGGGCTACAGGCCAAGAGAAGAACATGGGTTTAAAGAGTGGAAGGTTATCTAGCCTGGAAATTGAAATGATGATAAAAGAAGCCCAGAAATTCAAGGCTGAAGATGATGAGTTCAAAAAGAGAACAGCTGCGTGGAATGTACTTGAGTATTATGCTTATAAAATGAGGGCTGCCATATCATTGAAGAAGTCTTCAGCATACAAGAAGAAGGTTGAGGATGCAATTGAAGAAGTGTGTCAGTGGTTGAATGCTAATAAGCATGCCGAGGTTCAGCAAATTGAGAAGAAGAAAAAGGAGTTAGAATGCGTTTGCAAGCCAAGTGCTCTCACCAAACTGATGGAAAAATTCAAGAGAAATAAGATACCTCAACTGTAAGTATTTATTTAGACTTCCAGAGATTAGTGCTTATATCATCCAGCCAACTAGTAAGGTAACTGGGCCACTGTGCTTATACTATCTAGCAGGAAATCACCTGAAATTCTGTGTTGTACATAGCTAATGCATGGAAGAATCCAAGTGAAAATGGTTTGCGAAACCGGTGTCCCAAATTAGTTTTATGTTTTCTCTCCCAAGCCTTCATTCTGCTTAAGTTTGTCATCTGTTTTTATTCGTGAGCCATTGAAAAGTTTATTTGTTAAAATATGGGAGTCAGAATGAACCAAAAAAATGCAATGTGACGTACACATCCTTATAATTCCGGCACTCCTCCGGCGTCCTGGCATGAAAGTGCATTGCAATGTGACTATATTCGAATTGTCCAAACTCTGTTTTGCTTCTCAACTACAGCTACATTTGTTTCCTTATTCATGAGCTGAAGCGCGGAGATCTCTTCCAACTCCCAAGCGAGTTAATCCATTTCTTTTTTTTCGATACAACAAAAAAGCAGCTTAATTAGTCTAATGACTGAGCTGAGTTTGATCCTAAGTTTCAAGTTACAAATCATAGAAATCTTGATTATGTCCAAGGTTTAACATGTAAAGGGAATGCTTATAATATCAGTTTTTAAGAATCAGACCAATGTCTATACAATTAGTTTGAAGCCTGATTAGTACTAACCCTTATCCAAAGATATATCCGGACATGGCAGCCCAAAACAGTTTTTCCCTGGAATACAGAGATCAATCAAGAAAAAAAAAAAATTAAGAAGGAAGCATGTGGATTCTGGACTCTCCGAATTAAAAAATGACAATCGGGACAAAAAGGAACACAGAATTTCATGCAACTGATCGTACTCTCTCCATTCCAAAATATATGCGTCGTTTTAGTAAAATGGAGAAATTTCAAAATAAGTGTCGTTCTCACATTTCAATGCACTTTTTGTCAAAAGTTTCCAAAATTACCCTCAAAAGAGTTGATACTATTGGTGAACAATTTTATGATGGGGTTGGTTGAGGATATTCAAGTAATTTTATACCCTATTTAAGAATTTCTTAAACTATGTGTAAAGTGTAAGACGACACTTATTTTGGAGTGGATAGAGTATTTTATAATCCACCATCTTAGCACATTGAATTATATTTTCCGGGCCAAACCCACGAGTTATTTAGTTCAAACTATTGATTTTCCTTAAGAAGTTAAAATCAATTATGTTTAATAGTACTACATTTTTTTTTTCAAAAAAAAAAAGATGCAAATGCCTAGATATAGACTACCACACGTAAGGAATCTGCCTCACACAATCATACCAAAATCACGGGAAGGATTTTAAACGTTCACAAACCTTTTGAACCATGCCGGTTTAATTAGGCAAAGTAATCATCGTTTGATAGTACACATTAATATACACTTGAGAATTAGCAAGTGCAGTGTTGTGTTGATAAGGATACTCATCATTCAAAGTCTAATGGGAAAATTGAGGCGGCAATTCTCTATTTAAAAAAAAAAAAAAAGAATATATCTTGCTTACTTCTATCATTTTATGGAAAAATAAATTAAAAAGAAAAATACATTATATAAAACTAAAGAAACTAAGAAAAAACACGATCGAGCACAGTAGACCTATGGCTATGACAGACATTTAACGACATTCTGGGTGCATTTCTTTCTTTTGACATGATTTATTTATTCGAAACTATACATGAGTCGTCTTTTATATCTAACTTATTGAAATAAGATGGATAAAAAGTCATACATGATCGATTCTTTTGATTAAACCATTAAATTTAGACAGATTACACATGGAAGAAAAAGTTTAGATTTGAATAAATTACAAATAGCTACAAATGGCATCAATCCCTCGTTACCTATATCTCTCTAAAAATAATGGATTATATTCACAAAAGTCTAAATCAATCATTAAGAAATGATAATCACCACATAACTAATTCCAAAGGGTACATAATAGTAAACCAGCATAAATGGATCAAATGAGAGCCCATTGGTCTGTGTCTCCTACCCACTGGTAAACCCACAGATAACGAGAACATGAATCAAATCAAAGGGCCGGAATTACGTAAACGATCCAAACCACATTTTATGCATCATCATCACCTCATCAGCCCCCCTTTTGTTGTTTTCTCTTACCAGTAACCAATCTTATCGGTCGAATCAAAATCCCAAGAAAAGTTTCTCGAAAGGATGACTGACACGTGTCCGTCGTCGTATGATCCGCAAAACCCTCGAACCCCCAAATGCTCCCCCTTTCCCTTTTTGCTTACATCTCCGCCACCTTTCTTCCTTTCTGTTTCACTCACTTCCCCTTTCCTCATCAAATAGTATACCACCAACAAACAATTGCTGAAATCTCCGATACAGATTCAGTTGCCTTAAATCCGATGCTTAATTTAATCTAATTTTAGCTCTAACTCCACAAATCCCACCGGAAAGTTTCCGATTTCTCAGACTTTTCCCCCTTCGTGGGCCCAGGTTATCCTATTCTCTTTTTTCTGGCTCGGAACTTTGGCTGATTATACTTGGGTTTTGATTCAATGGTTTACCTGGGTTTTGAGGGTTGGAAATGTTTGATCTCTTCATGTTAACACACTTCCGTTCCCAAATCTGTCTGCGAAAACGGAAAAAAAGGGTACTGATTCCGAATCCACCCGCTTCCGCACTAATCAGATAAGTCCTAATCTGTATCTTTCTTGGTTACTTTTCTGAAGCTAAAAATTTGGATATACTGCACATATGAAAACTTTTCTCTCCTTGTATCCATTCCCTTTTCGGTTAATTTGAGCTAGACCATCTTAGTTCTGTTCAGATCAGCAGGGGAGGGGTTGTTTTAATTTTAATCTGGAGTGGTCTAGCTGGGTTTCTCTCTGTCCTTTTGATCCAATCATCTTTGTATATATAACGAGTTAGTGTAGATACTGGTTTTTAGAGTGGCACAGAGGAATTTTTCGATTTGGAGTAAGTGTTCTTGGGTTTGAAAGTGGCGAAAATGAGTTTGAGTGCGGCTGAGGATGATTCAGCATCAGAAATTCATCTTCCAGCCGATATTGATTGGGAGATGCTTGATAAATCCAAGTTTTTCTTCCTTGGTGCTGCTTTATTTTCGGGTGTTTCAGCTGCACTTTACCCGATTGTGGTGTTAAAGACTAGGCAACAAGTGATGGTGAACGAAGTCCCATGTTTTAAAATGGCGATTTCTATTCTAAAGAACGAAGGATTTAGGGGGTTTTATAGGGGGTTTGGTACTTCCCTAACCGGAACTATTCCTGCCAGAGCCCTGTATATGGGAGCTCTTGAAATGACTAAGAGCAATGTGGGTTCTGCAACCGTGCAGCTGGGGATGTCTGAAGCCTCTGCTTCAGCTGTTGCTAATGCTGCAGCTGGTCTCAGTGCTGCTATGGCTGCTCAGTTGGTTTGGACACCGGTTGATGTTGTGAGTCAGAGACTGATGGTCCAAGGAAGCTGCATGAATGGGCATTCCGGCAACGCTGTTACTTTGAAAACATACAGTGGGGGAATAGATGCATTCCGAAGAATATTGCATTCTGATGGGGTGAGAGGATTGTATAGGGGATTTGGAATCTCGATACTGACTTATGCCCCTTCCAATGCTGTATGGTGGGCTTCTTACTCTGTTGCTCATAGAACTATTTGGGGATGTGTTGGTGCCTATGGTTGCAAGAAAAATGAACATGGCTACAGGCCAGATGGCGCTGCTGTAGTTGCAGTTCAAGGTTTAAGTGCCGCTATGGCCAGTGGAGTTTCTGCTTTGGTTACAATGCCGCTTGATACTATAAAGACGCGAATGCAAGTCCTAGATGAAGAAGGAAGTGGCCGTAGGCCACCAACGATTCTACAAACTGTTCGGAACTTGGTGAAGGAAGGCGGATTTAGTGCTTGTTACCGAGGTTTGGCTCCAAGATGGGCGTCTATGTCTATGTCTGCAACTACCATGATCACCACCTATGAGTTCCTCAAGCGGTTATCCACAAAAACTCAAGATGGCTTTGCATAATGAGTTCTGCATCCCTGGTGATGGGATGCGAGAATGAATAGCTCAGGGAGAGTTTTTGTGTTTTGTCAAACCCCTCTATGTTAAGGTAGCTAGCTAATACTTCAAACTTTTGGCACGCCAACGGAAGTATCATTGTAAATGTGTACAGATGTAACAATCCTTGTTAAAGTTTCATCAATGGATTTGCTTTATCTTTTCCCTTTTACATCAAGAAGTTACATTATTTATGTTCAGAGTGCCCTTCTAGGGGTGTGCTTTGCCCAAGTCTATTGCGACAGTCCTTTGGATTTGCCCTCTGATTGCGCTTTGGATGTGTATGTGTGAGGGTTTGTGCTTATTTCCTCCATAGGCTTTGAAACGCTAAAGAGCATCAACAAGATAGCCAATTTTAGTTTTGAGTATCCATATTGACTTGTTCGAGCTTGGTTTTGACTTTATTTGTTTTTACCAGGAAAGCACCAAATCAAAGGAACACCTCATTTTCTTCTTTCAATAAAGCAAATGAGGAGGAACGTGAGATGCTTGGCATATCATCAGCCGTATCATTAGCCGAACATTTATTACAACTAAAATTTCGGGTCTAGCATTTAGCATTATTTTGCAACTATCGTAAAGTTGTCGTTGTTGGCCTGTTGCGACGTTGAATGCGAATTTGCGATATAATTTTTCTGTCTCGTTCTAATTCAAAAAATCATAACATCAAGATGAGATGGAAGGACTATTAAGGTTCTCCAGCTATCTTTTCATTTGAGCAAAGTGTAATTTGTATGTAATATGCTGAGCAATGAGCAATAAAATGATTGTCCGGGAGAGATTGAAATTTCCATATAATTTTTCTTTTTTTCCAAATCAAAAATATGCCTATTTATTTAGAAAGGGAAGAATCAATTGAAAGATCTCAAAAACATGCTATCCACTTCAAGTCTAAAAGTGTAAACAACTGGACCCACCCTATCCAAAACCCGGTTCGCCTAATCAAACACTGTGGCTTTCTGTCCAATATCCCGGACCAATGGACCACCGTTGGACCCTTTTCAACTAGGAAGAAATTGGATAAGTAGTGCAGAACAACTAGTTCATCATAGTGGGCAAAATTAGGCAGAGTAACAACCTCAGAAATATTGAGTTAAGAGTGTCATTAAAGTCACCAATTACATAGATTATTATATACTCCCTATTCATCAAAGAAGTTGCAGACATGACATATTTTCTTGTCACGTTTTTTCGTTTTCTACCAAGACAACGAAAAACCAGTAAAACATAAGTGCCTGCTGTTTCAGTTAGTTTTTCCACAAGCATAAATAAAAAACAAAACAAAAAAATGATGTGAATATAAATCCGAAACATGACACTCTTCAAGCAGATTTTAGACACAAAACCAATGACTACAACATACAGTTTTGATCCCCCAACTACTTTGGTGTACTAAATTAACCAATTAATGTCAAGACTTCGTTACTACAAGAGATGACAGACATTTTGTATTGCTTAATGTACTCTCTCTGCTCGACCATCATCATCATCATCGGATCCTTTGGGTTTCAATGTTTACACTTGACACAGCACCTTCCCGTTATAACCGACACGACATAGCACTCCCCCGCATAAAGGACATGACAATGATTGAGGCAAAGAAGGCAAACCCGATGACCAAGGCTGGCATGCGGACGATATAACTGAAAGAGGAGCCACCGCTCAACACATACCGCATGAAACTGGTGCCCGCACACGGGCATTATCCTGAGCTTGTCACCGGTTTCGAAATTCGCTTAACAAATAGCACAGTCGATAACTAATTGAATATGGCTTGGTGGAGGGAAGGTTTCTATCGGGATGGTATATAGCATTGATTATTGTCGGAATAGTAGATTCCAATTTCTTCTTCCTCCTGCGTTCAATCCAGAGGGGCCCAAACCAGAGGCCGGCCGCCAAGATCAATGTGCCAATGACAGTGATTAGGGCGGCAAGAAGGAATTCACGAGTTGATGGGGGATTCGTGGCATCCATCTTCTCTTTTTGGATTTTTGATGGTCAGAATCCGGTGACTTGGGTGTAAACTTGAGTGTTCCCGTTAGTCTTACAATTCCGAAGACCAATTAGAAACAAGTTGGAAGTCTACTAGCATCATGTCGCATGTCAAGGCCTTAAGAAAAAAAAAATAAAAAATTTCCAATTCGTTTGTTTGTAGAGCATGGAATGTAATTTATTATGATTTTAATAGTTTCAAAAAATTTGTCATGACATGATGATAATGCCATGGAATATCTCACCTAAACGATCAAGGGTTCACCGCTGAAAGCCAACTGCCATCGTTCTCCTTGTTTCTTCAATATCTCTAAAATTCCGGATAAAAAAACTCCAAGTTTTGTCCTTACAAAATTTTGAGACAGTAGCATATAGATAGATCATCTCAAATCTATTTGTTTGAGATGGAATTAACTATTGTCTCACCACATAAACATATCGAGACGTTTGAGACGGAACTAGTAATGGATCTAAACCAGAAATATATACTATTAAAGATTTCCTATATCACAATATTGTAGCATTTCCTAAACCAATCATATAAGATTACATTTTTATAATTAATAATTACTTTTCTTTTTTTAATATTTCATAAACACCCCAATCACCATTTGATGAACGAGCTATATGCCAAAAATTTAATGACAAGATATAGAAAGGGATGTAAGATTACAGCGTAGGAGATCTTTTATTAAAATATAGCGGGACCAACCATGATACATTAATTAATGAAAAAAGTATTACATGTGTATTGGAAGGGGATTAAATAGAGTTTGAATAGCTTAGGGAGAGGTTTTTGTGTTTTTCCAAACCCCTCTATGTTAGGGTAGCTAGCTAATACTTCAAACTTTTGGCATGCCAACAGAAGTATCGATGTAAATGTGTACAGATGTAACAATCCTTCTTAAAGTTTCATCAATGGATTTGCTTTATCTTTTCATTACAGAGTGCCCCTGTAAGGGTGTTTACTTTATTGCATTTGAGACGAGACATAGAAAATTGTCCGAAACCAAAGTATCCTATCATACTCCCTCCATTTCAATTTATAGATCGTTTTAGGTTTAGAGAGATTTTTCAAAATGTAAGTCGTTTTATAAATTATAGGTAAATTAATGATTATTTTTCCAACTGTACCCTCAATAAATAATACTAAAATATTTTTATTTAGTCTTGTTTATAGTTTCAATGTAATTAATGAAGGATAAAACAGATATTTAAAACATAAATTAATTGTTGGTGATTGTCTTCTTAGTTTACGTGCAAAATCTAAAGTGACAAACGGAGGGAGTAGTTTTTTTTTTTTTTTGAAAACGCGTATCCTATAATAGTTGTTGAGACAATAACATTATTGTTTATTATTAATTTTATTATTAGTTGTCATACCGAGCAAACAAGGAGAACGATGACAGTTGGTTTTCAGCGTAGCCATTTGCTGGTACTACTAGAGGATCACCATATCGCATTCTCCCTTCTAAAATACGGTCTAGTTGTTGAAAAAGGTCTAATGGGGTGCTCACATTTACATTCTCTGTATTCACTTGTACAACTTTGTCTTCAAGCATCTGATGATCTGCAAGTAGTATGATATATTTCATTTAGGTGATCAATTACATCAAAAAGCAATTCTTTATCATGGAATCTTAAATCTTTTTGTAGCCAGCTGAACTGCGCGCGTTACCTCAATTTGCTGGTCATAAATGGCAAGATGTAATATGGCCATCCCATCATCATCCTTCTGGTTAACAAAATCATCGTATTTTATTGTCTGAATCAAAAACCTCAGGGCCTCTATCTGATTATATTTCAGCACAAATGCAGTGCATTTCCTCCGCCATCGATCTTTTCGCAAGTTGCGATTGGCCTGGCATACTACTACTACTGGTTTTCATCGCATAATCAACGTTGACTTCATCTGGATTTTTAAAAAATAAAAAATAAAAAATGTAAGCTTTGTATTAACAATACTCAACAAACAATTTACAAACACCAATTGCTCGATCTTCTTAATCACCAAGCAACCTATCTCTGCTTTCTTTACATTCTTAGTACAAAATTGCAGTTTCCAGCTAATCTCCTGTTTGATCATCTCACTCCTTGCTTCTGAGTCCTTCCATTCCACCAACCCTCCTTGTTTCTGACCCAATGTGATGTATCCAAGCATTAAGAGCAGCATACAACACCTTCTATTTTGTTTTCTGGTTCCTCCAAACTCTCAGAATTCTTCCTGACTGTAAATAGTGAATTTAGACCGAAAATATAATATGGGCCGACCACATTATATTAATAAAAATATAACACATACTCTTTCTGTCTCAAAGTTATTATCCAGTTTGATATTTCACTTTTAGTACAATTTAAACTAAAAATAAAAACCTAAACTGTACAGTAATTACGCCGACGGAGGGAGTATGTTTTACTGCTTACAACGAGTTTTCATGTTTCCACATATTTAACCATTGAAGTTGTATCAAATTTTGTTTTTTTTTTTTTATATTCATTTCTAGAGTAGGAAACTAGCAAAGAGTTCATTTAAGGAAAGTGAGGTTTAGTTTAGTTTATGACACAAAAAAACAAAAGAGAAAAAAAAACAAAAAAAGTTAAACAATTGATACCCAAAAAAAAAAAAACAATGATATCCACCCCTACTCTAGAAGGTTAAACCAGTGGACCCGCCCCTATCCAATATCCGGTTTTACCAATCAAATACTGTAGACTGGACCAAATAGACTTCTGCGCGACCCTTTTCAACTGGGGAGGAACTGGGTTCCTCGTATATGCAAAATTAGGCGGAGACGACGCGAGAAAGTGAACAGTGAGAAAAAAAAATCAGCTCTTACAAACATAATACACTGCATCTCTCTTATTCATCGGACATTTTAGACATGATTTTTTCGTTCATTTATATGAGATGTTTTTCATTTCCTATAGTCACCGAAAAACCAGTAAAACTTTAGCTGGTGCTGTTTCCAGTAGCTTTTGATTGCCTAGACATACTTATCTACAGAGGACTTGGGATCAGACGATAGCAGACAAGACCAAGCAGTGCATGCATAAACATGGCGAAAAAGGGTAGGAGAAAGCGAAAATGCTGAAAGTTAACATCAACATTACACATTAAACCACCATTTTTAGTCCGTAAGCTAAACAATTGATGTAAACACCACCATTTGAGTCTGAAAACTGACTAAACAATAGATGTGAACATGAATCCTAAACTTGAATACTCCGAAAATTTTAGACACACAACATATTTCCACTGCTGACCACCAGTACTTGACCTAACACGCGATGATTAGAATAATTTTGATTTCAAACTACTCTGGATACACTAAACCAACCAATGTCAAGGGCGTGATCTCTTGTTGCTACAAGATGGGCACTTGTATTGCTTAATGTGCTCAGCTCTAGCAGGGGTGATCTTCACACACTTCCCATGGAACCACTTCTCACAGATGTCGCAGCATATCCAGAATTCATCTGCGCCATAGTTCTCTCCGCATGCACCACATAAAGTATCGCCGTGATCTTCATCTTCCTCCTCAAGACCATCATCATCTTCATCTTTAAGAGATGCTCTTGCATACTTGGCTTGGGCATCAGTTCCGCGCTGCTTCAAAATGGAAATGGAATAAAACCAAATGAGCAAACCAAAAACAGTGATGCATAGAGACTTGTCATTTCAACAATTATTAACCCCACACCCGAAGGTGTGTTACTTATCAATTTTATCGACTGCTGTGTGACAAATCATGAAGGCATGGGGCCACAAGAAATACCACCAAATATTCTCTGTTACCACCGATGTAAGAAATAGTAAACCCCCCAAACAACAAACAAAGGAAACAAGAAGCACAAAATCCTGAAGTCTTCTGGCAGCCGTCAACAAATCAAAGGTTTCAACATCTATCAAGTAACATGAATTCATGCCATAAATTTTAAAGCAAGTCTCAAACAAATATATTAAACTGGGTCCAAACTACTCCTAAACACGAGAAATCATTAGAGCCAAGTGAGGCAACATCCTCGCATTAGGTGTAAGCTCAAATAGTACATGGCTTTGAGGAAGAACATGTCGGCATCCAAGCTTAGATCTCATTCAGCCCACTATTAGGAGCAAGAAAGCTCTTCTTTCTTCTTCCCTTTGTTTTCTCTTTTAAGTGAGGGGGAAAGGAGAGAGGTGAGGGAAGGAAGAAAGAAGAGATTCACCACTTTTAGTTTTAAAGCTTCGACAATCAGCAAAGACAGAACACCACAAACTTACCGTTGAGTTTGTCTTAGATTTGTTGCTACTGTGATTCGATACTGATGACTTCTCCTTTGATTGCTTTTTCACAGTCCCAGTCACCACTTCAAATACTGTAGGCAGATCATTTATCATATTAAAAAGTCTTTTCCTGCACAAGCACATGAAGATGCCAATCAATAGATACATTTTGAAACCAGAGGAAGCAAACAACAAACTTCAACTTAAAACAAGATTCATGCTGGTTGCGAAACCCTCTAATACAGCCCAAACGCACAAAACAGTACACTTTTGCATCACCCGAATCCAGGTTCTGAAAACAGGGTGTACATAAAAATAAACAAATAAACTCGAAAATAAACAATCAGGACACCATTCTAAAATTAAGTAACAAGGAAAGATGACGCAGGACCAAACGTGGTGGTTAAGGAATCAGTAACTTAGGCTGATTAAAGAGTAGTATGCAGCGGAAAATCAATAGAAAACTGTAGGGAATAAGGGTAGAAATCACAGGAAAACAGGGATAATCAGTAGGAAGAAGAAGAAAACCTAAGAATCACTCTTAGGGCCCTTTGGCGTCACACCCCAGGATTCCTAGGCGTCACACCAAGGGTTTAGTTGAGTCACACAACTGTTGTTGAAAGCAAAAGCTTGCAAGAATTTTATTGATCTAATAAACTGTCTAAAACCCTCAAACAAAGTACATATGTATAGGCCTAAACCAGCAGCAAATAGGTAATTAAATATTAGCTTCCTAAAACTAAATTTCTTTTGACGACCTAAAACTTAATCCATAAGGAAATTGAACTAAATACCAATAATAGGGAACCAGTACTCCAGGAAAATCCTGCAACCTAGCAGAATTACTGAAGTACCCTTATTCTAGAATAACAAAATATAACTAAATAAATTCCTGCATATTGAAAGTACTAGTGATTAAACTAACCAAAAGTCTCATACTTTGGTTTCCTCCTTGGACCATGATGATCCTGGGCATAAATATGAAAGAACCTACTGATAGGGTTCTTCTACCATCCCTTGTCCCCATAAAAAGAACTGCTAGTTTGTAATTTAGAAAGCAACGTCAAAGTCATGGATTATAAAAAAGCACATCTGACAAAATGAATAGACATCCAGTTCAAAAGAGCTGGCACCACATTATCAAATCCAACAAAGCAGTTTATAAAGTGAAGCAAAAATATGCGCCAGAGAAAGCAAAAAGGAAGAGATACACCTTTGATCCATGATGAATTAATTAAGGGGAAAAAAAAAAAAAAAACAGGACTGGCTAAAGGCCGTATGATAAGATTATCAATCTTTCTCCAACATCATGGAGCGACAAATCTTCAAACCAAAATGTAGATTGCACATAAGCAATTTTCCAAAAACTTGAATGTCAAGAAAAATACAAATTACAGTTCAGTTCGAAGAAAAGATTCACAAATCGTTTAAAATAGCTCACCTATCAGCTTTGTCAAAACCAAATCTGGCGCCAAAGTAGAAAGAAACAGCAAGCAACCATGCATCACTGTGAACGGCAACCAATGACAGCCAATCTTTCTCCTGCATGCCATCTCGAGCAAAGTTTATGCCAAGAGCAGGCTCTGGTAGCTCTGGAGGCACCTCTTCAGCAGGCAAATTAACTTCCCACTGCTCATCTGGAAGTCCATATAGGCAAAGGTTTTCCTTCTCTGCGGATAAGAAAACATCAATGTTTTGTCATCCAACCTTATAAAGCAGACTAAGCTAGAACACTACATAAAGCAATAGAGGCAGCCAACCAAATGATAAGTCGGCCAATTAGACAGAATCATTCAAGATACAATCATAAAAGACACGAGTGGAATCTCGCCATTGTAAAATTAAATGGGGTCCCAACAGAGGATAAATTATATGCATGAAAATCAAGAGAAATAATTGGTATAGAAAGAGACTCGAACAGACCGTGACAACAAATCATCATGGGCAAGAAAGACGGAAGAATAAGAGGATACTCGATACCAAATCACAAGGAAAAAAATACTAAAGATCAGGAAAAAAATCTCTCTCCAAATAGTGACACTATCCATATAAAACGGTTGAGAACTGATCCAAACCAGAAAAACAACAATCATCACCACACTTGCTATCAGACAGCACAAGTAGAACGGGAAGAAGCATGATTTGGTAATGAAGATGCAACAAACCAAGATAAATCAATTACAACGAACAACACATGAAGTAGTGTGGAGTAATTTCAAACGATGAGAAAAGATCAAAAGTTCATGAAGAAAAATGTCTTTAGTAAACAGTACAGGTTCAATTGCTTTTTTGATGACATTTACAGTAAGAGATCAACGAAGTGGAGGAAAAAAAAAAAATTTAAAATGAAAGAACAGTCTCCAGACTCCTATGCCACTAAACAAAAGTTTATAAATACTAAATTAGATGGATTTAACTAAAACACCTAAACTATATTAGCAAAAAATTTACTGTACCCTACCATTGTAAAGAAATGCTCATGTTCAAAGTGTCAAATAGTTTCTTAAATGATATTACAATAATAGGGAGGTTCAATTATTTAGATTTGCATATAAGTCATGTACACAGTAGGTTCAACAACCAAAGGATAGAAGAGGTTAAATTGCAAGTAATACATATATGGCATGGGTGATAACATCCATAAATAACAACCGAAAAGAGACATAAGCGCAAACTGAGCAGGGTCACCCAACTCACAAGGTTTTCAAACAGCCAAACAAATTCAACTTAGAAAGTTGAAATTGTGGCAATTAAAAATATAAAATGTATTTTGTAATATCAAGAGGCATTCATTATTATAAATACTTCAAATGCAGCCATATTGCAATACCGTTCACTCTATAATTGGTCCAAAATCAATGAAGGCAAGAGTGGAAAACACAAAAACAATAGTAATTAACATATAAAGCAAGCTTCCAAACAGGTCCGACGATTAGCACCTTTAATCTCATCCGCGCATATATAGTACATTTGAGCAACAGACGGTTCGAGATATAAAAATCAGGAATAGAATGCCTGCCACATTAACTGTTCAGATATTGTCGTGAAACACAACTCACAAACAAAATGCCTTTCACATTTACTGTCCAGGATATCGTCAAAACCACCAAAGGCACTTACCCGGAAAGAAAAAAAAAAAAAAAAAAAGGTGCCTCTTTGACATCACCCCAAAAAAACACAATTAAAGATCTTTACGTCAAGGTTCACAAATACACAGACTGTCTGAAAAAACCGGTACATTGACCACAAGTTTCACTTCGACAAATCAGCAAAGACAAACTGCCAACTGCCTAATCCCTTTCATTCATCACGGGAAAAACAAATGATTAACAATCAAATACCAACAGAAATTCGCCCATCAGTCGACAAATACTAGGAGCAAACTTTGCTAGAAAACATACAAAAAAAAAAAAAAACCCTGTTCCATGCAGAAAAGCAAGGGGAAATGTTTTCAAATTCAAATTTACACCAAAGATTATAATTAAGCAAATTCCTAGCAACAAAATAATCAGCTAAATGAAAAACAGAGCTCTTCAAAAGTTGGATTCCCAAAAAAAAAAAAAAAAAACACCCAAAGCCAACAATTTTTTTGTAGATAAAATTTCATGTAAAATTCACACACACTTACAAACCTCATCTCGTAAATTCAAACAGAAATACCAAAAAAAAAAAAAAAAGGCAGAAAAAGAAGAGGAATTGTACCAGGGTCGCATTGCTGATAGAAACGTTCAACATCTGGAAACAAAGAATGAGAGCAAACAGATTAGTCCGGGTAACAAATCATCCAGACCCACGCACATAACAATAAAAAATCAAAAAAAATTAAGCTAAAAATAGAGCGAATTAAAACACCAACAACAAACAAAACAAACACGCATCTGTAGCGTAGAAACAGCTTTCTGAAATTCAGCCTAGAGAAGAACGAATTAGAGAAAAAGAAGGGGAAACAAATACCAGTAGTGAGGGCTTTAATTAAGCCAGCTCGGCGACCCCTGAAATCCCTAAAAACCTCCTCCACCGTCCTCGGCCCGTACTGCGGATTGGCGTCCATGACAAAAGTAATTGTAAGGCTAACTGTTTACAATTGCAAAAAATTTTCAAACAGATGTGGTTTTTTTTTGGAGAAAATCAAATAGGATTTTAGAGTTGAATTAGAGTGTGTGAGACTAGAGAGATAGAGAGAGAGAGAGAGAGGGGGAAGTCTTCCGAAATGGATGAGTCGAGGGAATTGCGAGAGAGAGAGAGAGAATACGTAAACTCAAAGTATAATTTATTTCGTATTCCTATTTATTTTTTTTAGGTCAGGAGAGAGCCGCTCTGTGTGTGTGTGTGTGTGTGTATAGACAATAGAGTTCACTTGGGAGGGAAAACTTTTGGGGGAAATTATTTTGACCATCGGTTAGACTACTTCTTCATCAGCAAACTCTACAATGTAATCTGAATCCCAAATTTTGACAAAGTCAGTGTAATGGGACACGAATTTATTTTCATGTCAATTTGCTTCTTCCTTTTCTTCACAAAAATGAATCATTGTTTTTTAACCATTTATTAATCACTTTTTTTTATCTTGTCAAACGTTTTTAATAAATTCGTTATCGTCCATCTCTATTTTTTACCTAGTATCAAGATAATTTACTTGGTTTGTGATTCCATATCTAATACGTTTATTGATGATTGCTATCAGTTTCATTTTCAAGTTACAATTTACAATGAAAGAAAATGGCACAATCTTAACGTATACAAAGTACAAGATACAATTCATAATGTGAATTACTTATGAGATAGAGCGAGTATTTTTTGAAAGATATGTTTTTGTTAGTCGATTGAATTATTTAATTGTAATATAACAGGTTACACTTAAACAAAATACAAAAATCTTTTATAAAATTAAAGTTGATCGTAGATAATAATTTCAAGGCAGAAAAAGTAATTAATATCGTTAATAGACTGAGTTGTGGGAGCAATTTGCATTATGTGCATAATTGGGCGGGTGTAATTTACAATTTGCTCTGATTTCATCCCTCTAATCTACTTCTTACAGTTGGTATTTCCAGAAAAAACGGCCCTATTTCAATCATAACGTTCGAATACACATAACAAGGTTGAAAGCCCATTGACACAAATACATGGAAATGATTGCACAACTAGCAATATTTCCTTTTCATCATCTCAGTTCTGACGATTCATTATTCGGAACAAACTGCAATCAAAACACTTCGAAAAGCCACACACTGTCCAGCAAACTGTGCTTCTTCTTGAAGCCACAAGCATGAACAGAGTCAAAAGGCCACAAATTACAAACCCCAAAAGTCAGTCAGTCAGTCACTGTTCTTATTCCAAATCCTAAGAAAGCAGTAGTAAAATAGCCAAGGATGAACTGCCAAATATCCATTGAGAGTGACACAAGAGAGCTCTGCAGTGCTCAATCCTGCGCACGTCCATCAATGAATGAGAAAAGCCGATTGCCAGCTTCTAAATGCGGAAAATCTTCCCGAACGGGGATGCCCATGCGGTAAGAGGACACTGGGACCCTCACCCCTTGTTGCTGGAAGATGTCACCGCCATTAAAGATGCCTGTTACATCGGAAGCAGATGGTGTGGATATTCCCCAACTTCCACAGTCTGAGTACCGTGTCTCTGCGGCAGACACTTTTCCAAACTTTTTCTCAGAAATGTCTTTGTGATGACTTGGGGCAGAAAGCTGCGGTTGCTTAATATTCTTGGTATTCAAAAAGCGTCCTCCAGCACCCCGAGGTCTCTTTAGTGCATGAACGTGTCGAGACTCATGCAGATAGGGCTACAGAATACAAAAGAAATACTTACAGTCTCCTAAACAAGTATATTATGTTGGCATTAACGGAAACTAACATACCCTTCGGGATTTTACAATTCTGTTATGAGCCTCAAGCTTTGCACGTATCTGCCTTCGCCTGAGTATTGCACGGAATTGCTTAGCATTAACAAACATAGGTATGTTTTCTGCACATTCAAGCGGAGGAAGAGGAACTCTTGCGGGTGTCAACCCCACCATTGGAGGATAAATCTATTCACGAGGCAGCAAGCATTTCAGGAAGATATGTTAAATCACTCGATATACCAAATTTAAACATTTCTACCCAAAAAGTTGGGAGTGTTTTGGTCAAAATTCTGTTACAGGAAAACTGACATGCAATCAAAAGCTAATGCAGGTTGAATATAGGTGGCCATCACAGGCTTTCAACAAAACTCGGTGTTATAAAACTCAAATCAATTATCGCTGTGGGACTGCCAAGCAATCCTTCTCCATAAAGCATCAAAAACTAATCCACTTCCTTTAGAAGAAACAAAGAGGGTGGAAAAAGAAAACGGAAAAGAAGCAGCAAACAAACAATTTTATTTACTTTTTTTTTTTGCATTTACAATTCTTCATCAGAACTACCAATGCTAAGAATAGACACATGCAAACATTTGAAATTAGAAAAAAAGAGGAATCCCAAGTCTTTTTTAAATTGGATGTATTTTCCAACAGAGATGGGCAATAATGAATGTGGGGAAAGTAAAAAAAAAAATAAGTACCATCACCAGAAATTGTGTGTGTGTGTGGGTGGGTGGGTTGGGAAGGGGGGAAGGTGACAAATGTAACTCTGGGGTTAACTAAGAGATGAAAAAATGAGAATATCATGCTCAAAATGATGCGACCATTCAGAAAGGATACTGATAAAAGACCCCAGGATACTGATAAAAGACCCCAGGTTAGAACTTAGAGATCTCATCCTTTGCATCAGAAAGGAAATGATATCTACATTATAGATGTTCTATAAATAATAGGCCATCCTGTAGGGCCTAGGCAGATGTCAGAGCATAATGGGAACTACGAGTTGAAGCTGGCAAACTATAAAAAAGCTGTTTCACAAAAGCAACCAAATGGATAAATTGAGCGACTTACAAAAGCATTTTGCCCATAAGCAGATACAAGACCTCCAAAGTAGGATTCGGAGCATGGGAAGGTTATGCAAGCCTGTAAATATCAAGAGAAACATAGGAGACCATTATATCTTGCTTGCGATTGATCTTATGCAGTAGCCACAACCTAATTTGAACATAATTCTTGGTGTCAGGTATATTGCACTTTAGTATTTCTATGTCGATCTTCTTCTTCTCCTTATTCTTTTTTACAGGCGAAACTAAAATTATTCATTTGATAAGGTTAACTTGACAAATGAGAATTAAACCACTTTACTAAGTGGCTTCATAGACTTGTGCAATCAGGTTATGTGTCCTCTTCCAATAGAAGTTGGTGACAAACCAGTTTTCTTACTAATTTTCTGGCCGGTCACTACTTTTTACTATGACCAAATTCATGCATCTAGTCAATGAATGATGATTTCGATTGTCAAATTATCAGAACATCCATAGTTCCTCAGAACTAGAGTTGACCAAAACCTAGCAAACAGGCTGTCGTGAACTGGGGGAACTAGAGCGAGCAGGATGAGCAAGCAAATAGAGGCCTCTCATCTGATCCACCTCTAGCAGTCAAGGACAGGTATTCACACCCGATCTTTGATCCCCCTATTCAGGAGCGATTGAAGCGAATACAATAAGAACCCTAAATATGTCGACAAAGGATACATGATCCTCTCCCAACCGCCTATCCATTGCCTACCCCAGGAACAAATGATGAATCGATGAATAGTTATAGAATCTATCCATTTTTCCCTTAAACTTAGTCAATCATAACATTGCCAAAAACCACCTGGAATTGTCATTCAAGATGTAAGGCATGGATTATAGCTTTAAGAAATGTTATATGCATGAAATGCTTCAGTAGAAAAAGGTTATTTGACTTAAAATACTATTTCAAGCGAAATTTATCTACCATCAAAATATTACTGCAAAGCAAGCAACCTTATGAAATTGCAGAAAGAACATGACTGAAGAAAACTCACCGTGGCTTTCTTATAATCCTGTGGAACTTGACCAAATCCATATTCAGTGTTGCCATACAGAAAATGTGACCTATGATATGGATCTCCATGCCTTTCACAAGTTTCATCACTACCTAAAGGACAGAGAAGATCCGGTAAGATTAATTTACGAGGGATAGCTGGCCAGGAGCATTCTACTACGTGGAGGAAAAATCTCCACTGTTCCAGTAGAGAATGTAAGATACGATACAACTCGGGTGCATAAGATAATCATCAGTCTGGTGTGTGTGAAGTAGATTTTAATATTCAGAAACAGGCTTTATGAATATCTAAGCAGATTAACGAGCTCAATCAACCAGAAGTGTCCCAAAATAATTAATATAGGTGCAGGTGAGCACTTCAGTAAATTCATGAAATTAAGTTGTTAGTACATCTTGAAAATATAGTATTACCATGCTGAGTGCCGATATTTTGAACAGAAGGGCTGTTCCTTGCTGCATCGCCAGTTCCATAATGGGAGTGACTGCTTGTTAAAGTTGATGATGCATCCTGCTCTTGATTTGGAGAATCAGACTGCTTCGGAGGATGCAAATCATCCAGAGATGATTCCTGTGCAGTAATAGTGCTCTTGGAAGGAGAATACTTAGGTTCTTCAGTTGAGTTCCACAGAGAAGAGCAAGTAATGAAAAGGGGTGTTAATGATTGACCGCCTTTGTTAGAAGAGGTTTGCATCCTGGCTAATAACCGCTACTTTAACTACTTCTTATTCGCCAAGATCAAAGCCTGTGATTTCTGTTACAAAAGAAAGCAAAATACAGTTTAATTCAATTTTACCTTGCTCAAGTCATGATGGATAAATCAATTCTTATGTCAAATTAAATGGAAACAGAGAATAAAACTGAAGAACATCACAAGCCATAGTTTTTGAGTAAGAAAAATCCTCGTTTGAGCCAAAATAGAAAATGATCTAGACAATGATCTAACATCAGCAAATGAGCCAATAATAATACTAAATGTTGAGACCAGAAAAAGTAAACCTACTTTGACATCTTAGATGATAAAACCTTCAACTGAGTTAAGAAAGCAACAATCGGAACAAGACAGCAACTGCAAGCTAATACTGTTGAAAAAGCTATGCTGTAGAACAAGGTTTACAAGGTGCCTGCCACCATTGGCTTCCCTTATGCATATAAATCAAGAAAATATCCAAACCCTTTCTGCGCCGAATCCCCGGAAACATTGCCTATCGACATGACATGATACTAGAGAATCAAATGAACCCCCGCTATAAAACTAAGGCATATTAATTTTGCAACACTTTCTTCGCTGTGTGTTCTACTGAAGCTGTAACCAAGTCAGTATTTTGAGCAGAATCCTTGAAAAGTTGAACAAAAAGCCCAGTTCAAATTACAATTACTCTATGCCCCGAATCCTAGCAATTTCATAAACTATGGCAATTCTTGAAGTTTTGAATCAGCAGAAACCAGAAACTTACTGATTAATATGGATTGAGGTCAGTGAAAAGACAGGCAAGAGAACAGTAAAGGTGGGCAGTGAAAAGAACAAATCATCCATACAAAGAGGTAAAAGCAAGCAAAGCTAGCTTAAGCTTAGAAAGAGTAAAAATTTAGAAAGCATGGATAAAAAGACACCTATAAGGGCATAAAATTCCAACCAAGGCTGACAGGAAAACTTCTTCTGCTACTTGGGTTGGATGCAAAATCAAGTCTTTTTAATTCTAGTAGCACTTCTCTCCTTCCCCACCAAATGAAAGAAAGATACTAGCTCTTCCTGCACCTTTCAACATCCAAAATGAAAAGGAGAAGAAAAAAATTAGAAGAACATTTGATTCATCTGAAAACGACAAGTTGCTTCCACCTAAGTAACTCCAACACAGAGAAATACACACTATGCACAGAAAAACAGTCAAACACCACTCACCAAACCATCCCTATTTCTTTCTTTCCTCCTTCCACTTCCACCACCACCATGAATCCACCCCACTAACCTCTTTTCTTTGCTTTTCCCTTTTTTTATATATGGGAGCACTTCTGCTTTGGATATGAAACAATCTCTCTCTTAGTTGGACCCCACTTGACACGTCTACCAAATCAAAATCATCTTTTTCCCTAACTCCCCAATTTTATAACTTGTTCATTGACATATTATTATTGTAACATTTTTCTGAACGGAAAAAGAAAATGATCAAGTCATATACTCATATATATTGGCATCTAGTATGGTGTCATCACTCATCACCATAAACTATATAAACTATAAAGTCATTCATATGCAAATGTACACTTATCAAGGAATGAAACATTTGTACTTAGTACTATCATCTTGTTTTCTGTCCCCAGAAAATTACTTTATTTTGTATCTTGTGTAAAACCGAGCGAAGAATTAGTCTGGATGTGATACATATCTTGTTAAGAGTATAATTAGTGGTTCAGAAAGTATTAGGATTCGGATTAAAGGAATGAAGCTCCAATTTGACAAAAGATAATGTAGTATACCCAACTGCAAATTTGCAATTGCCTGCCTCCTAAATTCGTCTCATATTTTATTAATAATAGAGTCCACATCCGGAGGTCCACTATTGGTACCACTTAGGACCACCACTCCTAATTTCCTAACTCCTTAAATTAAAAATCTGTTCTTGTTCATCAATTGTTGTTCATGCCACGCCATCCTATTCTACAACAGTTAAACTTCAATTAATAATTGTATAAAATGACTTTTCTTCACCTTTAACATGCAAAAATGATCCACCTTAGTGTACCTCATTAGCTCTGTAATTTGTCCAAGATGGAGCCCAAAAAGTTTCTACTTTGGAGAGAAAAGTTGATAATAATAGGAGTAAAATAAAGTGTAGATAGTTTGGATTGAAACAAACCCTCTTGTGGATTAAAAGTTGACTCTGTTAATCATATGAGTGAAAAGAAGGGAAAAATTTTAGCACCATGGAGAGGGGGGTAAAAAAACAAACACATAGGGTAAAACAGAGAATTTTGGTCAAATGAGCCTTCTCTTGTGTGACCAATGAATTGGACATGGGCTAGTGGTGAAAACGAAACTAAAAAATTTGTTAATTAATGCAACTCATTCTTGTTGATGATTTCTTCCATCATTTGTGATTGTGAATGTTTGTCAAATTGTGTATTGACCTTTCCATGGTTTTTCGAGTCTTCTGTGGCCTAATAATATAGAATTTTCTGTTAACACTCGTAACTAAACTCAAAGTCTTAACTTCAAGCCCCTTCTAATACACATGCAGTATGTAGAATCGTTTGGATTATGTCAAATTGGGCAGTTTTTTCTGTTTTTTTAATGTGTGTTTTTTCCGTCCTAAAATTATTGTCCAGTTTGAGATTTCCATTATTAGTACAATTTGAACTAAAAACAAAAAATTCAAACTGGACAATAACTTCAGGACGGAAGGAAAAAAGAAACAGATTTGACAGTGAACATGAGCAAGCACATAGAATGCTCTAAGATGTGAGAAGAATTGTCGTAAAATCCTGAAGTGGGTTTAGGTTGGGTTAGTAGGGATAAAGGATTGAAATCGCAATGTTAGTATTCAGTCATCATTAAGTAAGAAAATGAAAATGTGACTTAAATTGTGGCAATTTTGGATTTTGTATTGCTCCCTCCGGCCTAAAAAAAAGTCCACATTGAGTTTTGCTTTTTGTATTGTATTTAATACAAATTAGATGTTTGGTCCGGACAGATGTCCGGGCGCCCCCTCTAAATTACTATTCTATTAAAATCTAATTGAATTATTATTTTTTGAGGAATTAATTTGACGTATGTATCATTTATGCTATGATTTGGGACTTAAAAAATATACCTATAAATCTGAGGTTATAAGGGAATAATAAATAATTAGTTTATAAGGCATTATTTTTAATTGTTGGATTTAGGTATTTTTATTTTTTGTTTATATTAAGCCTGTAAAACTATACGATTGGACATTTGAATTTGAATTAATATATCTATTCGTTTGAAATGTAACTGATCCTTATTTGTAGTAAAACATGTGTTTTTTTTATAAAAAAAAATTATATAGCTTCTAATTAAAAGAGACTTACACGTGGCAAAAAGACTTCTGAAATCTGAAATATGGTGCATTGGAGCCAAAACAGATGCATACGTAGTTGGCACATAAGTTTCATGTCTTCTGCTTTAATAGGGTTAAAGGGATTAAAGGGATTTAAAAAACTCAACGTGAACTATTTTTTTGGGATGGAGTTAATATTAAAAACAATTTCTTTTGGTTGAACCCCTCACGCTTGAGAAGCATAATGGATCGAAAAGAAAAAATTTTAGAAAAGAAATTTCAAAATAAAAGGTACTCCCTCCATTCCATTTTAAGTGTCGTTCTATACTTTTCACACAGTTTAAAAAGATATTAATTGAGGTATCAAAATTACTATGTTAACCCCAACTAATTCTAATACAACTATAATTACAACTTCTTCTTGTATCCCATTTATTACCTCCACCAAACTCTTTGTCAAGTATCCGCCCCTCCTCAGCCTCCTCCCTCCTCAGTCGCCGTCACCCTGCCACAAAAACAAACTCCTCCAAAAAAGTTCTATCTCCCAGCCTCCTTCTAAAGCCATCTCGGTAAATCGTTCCCCTTCCAATCTCCTCCTCATAAATTCTATCTCCCCAAATTCATCAAATATCTCCTTTGATGAATTCAGATCTCCCCTCTCCTTATAATTTTTTTCAGCATCACTGTAAATCAAATTGACTTTTATCAAACCCACTAATCAAATTTTTTGAGTCAACAATTGAAGTAATAAACTATCAAAAATAATTTTCTTTGAAGGTTTTTCAGGGTCAAGAGGAGAGAGAGTCCGGAAGTTTTTCATTTGACAACTAGGTATAGCATAATTAATGACCTTTGTGGGAAGGGGTAAATTTGGAAAATTTTGATAAATTCTGCATTGATAGTGGAGAACGACACTTATTTTGAAATATTCTTTTTTTCCTACAACGACATTTAAAATGGAATAGAGAGAGTACTATAAAAAATATAAAATGACGAATTAATCCGTAATCTAAACTTGATCTTATCAGTTATTGTAATTATCAAGGCTTCCAAACTTCATAGTCGTGTTTGTTGTCCATTAAATAATTGTTATTATTGCTTAAAGAGGTGCCAGATCGAATCTTCACAACAACTAATTATTGGCTTACACATCATTGATGCTAAAGATAATTTACTTTAATGTGGGATTAAAGTGTAATTAGTGGACTTTAAGCTTCCTAACTCTTCTTCATTTGTTTAATTCTTTAAGAATGCTTGCTTTAATGATAAGGGTATGAAAGATAAACTGATCAGATGCCATCATCCTACGAACAATTGGTCCGATCCAAAGTTTCTAATCCAGAACAGAATAACTTGGAGGATTTTGTATTGGCATGAAGTACAAAAAAAATAAAATAAAATTGCGGAACTCGTTTTATAAATCAGAACAAAATGTTCCATTTATGAAGCATTTTGTAGAGTACTAACTCCAATTTTTTATTTTTAGTTTTTTTGGTTAAGGTGAGGATTACTTTTTTTGGGTGGTTTTTGAGGTCTTTATATTTCTGGTATATTAATTAAGATTGATTACTAACAAAAATAAACATACACTAGAAGGAGGATATTTTGGGTTTGAGTAACAGCAATTTTTTGCCCAGTAGCAATTAGGATTGATGAACTGTTCCACAATTTTTGGGTTGGAATGGTTCATTTTGGGTTTGAAGGCGTGATTGAGTACACAATTTTATTGCTTCTATATCGGGAAACCCTCCATAAAGTCGTGGCTGTTTCAGCTATTTATAAAATAACGCCTCTGATTTTATAAGTAGGGAATTCAGTTAACTTAGGGCATCAACAACAATACATATAATTCAACACAACATTACACTGCCACGTCAGCATTCTACTACACTCTCACTTTACACACTTTTTTCTATAACAATATTACACTCACTACCTATATAATTTTGGACCCACAACTACCTCACTATTATTACCCCACACCTATCCTACTATTAATACTTTATTTTTTATAAAAAATAATTACATTTACTTGTAATAATAATTAAATTTATTTTTCATAATTATTTTGTTTATATGACTTCTAAAGTACATTATAAAATTTTATTATTTTTTTTAAAATCTAAAAACATAATTAAATAACACAAGAATATAAAAAAAACTTAATAATCATTGAGTGAACAATATATTAATAAAGTACAATAATTAATTTAAAAAATAACAATAATAAAATTTCACTACTAGACGATGTTTATAGAGATAGTGAAAATCTAAAAATATCTAAAAATAATTTAACAACCCTACATTTCGTCAAAATCATTTCCAAAACGTTCGTAGATGTGCTCAACCAAATCTGATCGTAGTTGATGGTGTTCTTCGCGGTCGCGTATTTCTGCATTCCTTTGAATGTATTGTTGTATATTAGGGATTAACTCTTGATGATGCGAAAATTGAGTTCCTGCGTCATCAGTCCATTTTGTTGCTTCATCTCCCTCGTCCTCAACTATCATATTGTGTAATATGATGCAAGTATACATTATATCATTAAGCGATGCTCTTTCCCACAATCGAGATGGAATATGTAAAATATTTCAACGGGACTGAAGTACTCCAAATGCTCGCTCAACATCTTTTCTTGCTGCTTCTTGCACCTTTTTGAAGAGTTTTCTCTTAGAATCCACTGGAGATGTAAAACTTTTCATAAATGTTGCCCACTCCGGATATATACCATCAGTTAAATAATAATCTCGGCTGTATTGAGTACCATTTACAGTAAATTGAATATCAGGAGCATACTCGTGTAACACATCGTTAAACAGAGGAGATTGGTTGAGCACGGTGATGTCGTTGTTAGATCCTGCAATTCCAAAAAATACATGCCATATCCATAAATCTGCAGATGCGACTGCTTCAAGCACTAAGGTGGGAGAACCTTGATAACCGGAAGTAAAACGACCGCTCCATCCAACCGGACAATTTTTCCATTTCCAATGCATGCAATCAATGCTACCAAGCATACCTGGAAAACCATGTTGTTCATCGTGCATTTGAAGTAAACGTTGAACGTCACTATCATTAGGTCTTCTCAAATATTGTGACTGAAAAATTTCAATCACGTTATGACAAAAGTACCCTAAACACTCTAGTGCATTACTTCCACCCATCCTTAAATATTCGTCAACACAATCGACTGGTAATCCGTATGCTAATTGACGAAGAGCTGCTGTAGATTTTTGAATGGGGGAAAATCCCATTTTACCCGATGCATCAGGCCTTTGTTGAAAGTATTCAGAGTGATTTTGGAGAGATTGTACAATGCGGAGAAATAATTCTTTCCTCATGCGGAATCTTGTATGGAAAGTAACTGAAGAGTATACTGGATTGTCAGAAAAATAATCATTAAATAACCTTTGTTCTCCAATTTCGCGCTTTCGATCGATATGCCTTCGTCT